ATAACTGGGTGATTTATTTTTATTTGCTGTACTTTATAATATTAATATTTAATTTAATATCTTAAGCAGACAGATGATCAAGCAATCATGAAAATATAAGTAAATATAGTCTCATATTAGTGGCTCTAGAGTGTGCTTTCATCAAATTTGTCTATTTTTACTGATTTGCTTCCAAATAAATTATTGTTACCTCCAAACATTGATCAAACTAATTTCCAAACATTTTAGTAAACCCTCAGAGCAACACTTTATATTCTATATTATGGCTTATATAAAAATGACCAATTATAAAGTTTTCGCTCGGAAACGTAGTTGCTTGTTAGACTAATATTTCGCTTTTGATTATTCAGCTAGTTCTCTCATGCATTTCCTACAATGTCTCATTTTTAATGAAGGTTGGCGTTTATCGTGACAATTTAATTCTATTAATCGTAACATCTAACAGCTGAGTGGAATTTATAGTATGAAATTGTATTTTTTGCTTTTTTTGATTCAAGTACTTATATTGAATTTTTGGAATAATTAGCTATTGCATTTCTAGTAGTAAAATAATTTTGTATTCTTGAACCAAAGATTAAAAAATGGTACCTTTGAATATCTGGTCAATTTTTCACCAATGAAAGAATAGTTTGTTATAATTTATTGTTAAGAAATAACCAAATTGTATGGAGTTTTTCCAGGAATTTTACAAAAAAATTCAATAAGCACTATTCGCTCTTTAAGGTGTAATATTTGCAGAGCAAACATCTTTGTTAGCTTGTATAACGAAAAGATAAGCAATTTGCATCAGAATATTTTAAGTCGGTGTTATTTCAATTAACTCTGAATACATGCAAATTTATTGATTTTGAAACGCGTTACTTAGTTACTAGAAACATATTTTCTCTGTATCATAATCAACAAAAATGAATAGAAATAAATAGCAATCAATGAACTTTAATTTTTATGTTTAATGAATTCATTGTTAGTATACTACTTTAGGCATTATATTTCGTGGAAGGGAAGACTAGGTACGGTGGAGCCACTTTTTTCTGATCAGCAATAATTTTCTTAATTTACCAGTTAGCTGTGAGAAAAGTAAATTAAATGGTAATTTGAACATTGTCTACGTGGAAATACTGGTCTTAAATACGATAGGTCAAAGTATCACAACCGTCCACACACAGGACAACACAATATACTCATTTAAACAAAGCTTATGAATATAATATAACAATATATAAGAAACCATAATTTCTCGAACGAAGTTAACAAAAAATCTTTGTGATTTTTTTTTTGTATTGAATTTTTCATTTCTTTACTTTTTCGTGATTTGTATTTTTTGTTACAGGCTTAATTTTCACCTGAAAAGGGCTAGACCCAAAACCACATGTCACAACCATACCCAACGCACACTTTTGAAACCAAATCATTATTATGACTGAGCCAAATTATTTACGCAAAAACTAATTGCTGGTAATTAACTACTAATGTTCAACTTACAGCAAAATAACAAAGTGATTCTGTATACAAGTAAAAATTATTATTGAAAGAAATCGAACAAAGAAACTTTTTTGACACTTTAAAATCAATGCGATCACGTTAATGTGGGGCGCGGCTCAATGCGCTATTGGAAACTTGTTCGAACAAACATACTTCATATTTCTTCTTTTGGTGCCTATCTCAAAATCACTATAGTTCCTATGGCCCAACCGTATCCAGTCTCCCCTACTTAGGGGCTTATTCTCGGTTAATATAGCTTTATTATGGCATCAGTTTTTCATGGTAACTTACTTACGCTTTGGGTAAGTCCCAAAACTGTCATTTCGGTTTGACTAACTGAAAACTAACCTCCAAATAGCACAAACTTCAGTACAACATTAGTTCTGTACGCCTATTTTATTTGTACGTGCAACGTGCAATACATCAGTATTTATTATTTTCTTAATGTTATCTCTATAATGTCATATGTAACTGAAAATAGATATTACTTATAATAACATTTTGAACGAAATAAGTGTATCCTTGCCGTAAGATGCGCATCCGAAAATTGCAAATTAAAATGATTAAATATATAATTATATTAGCTCTAAATCAGTTAAAAATTGGCGTTGAATTTAGATTTGTTTCATATTTTGTTATATTAGCACTAAAATTATCTAGTTATTAACGGTCAGATAAAATATATGTTGATATAATGTTCAAAGTATTTTACTAATAAATAAACTCCTTTTTTTCGTTTTACAACAGGCAGCAAAAAAGTAAAATTTCTTTATCTATGAATTGGTTACGTATTATTTGATTTAGACAAATGGTAAACTAATAACAAGCTCAATTTAGAAAATATTTTGAATATGTGTTCGTTAGCAGGATATCGTATAACTAACATGCTTGTTATGTGTTGTGGATATCAGTCTGATAATATGATATTTTACAAAACAGTTTTTTTGTATATAAAACAATTTTAATATTGACAGAATTTGCTAAAAATAGATTATTCAATGCTGCTATCTGAAATGGTTTATATAAAATGTGTTTTTCGATACGTTTTTCGATACGTGAAGAAAAACATTAAACATCCTGTGACAATTATATCTTGCTCGAGCAGCTGATTTTTATCTGCGTTAGTACTCTAAATCTGTTTTATTTTTTTATTGTTTTTGAACGGCAATCAGAACTTAAGAGTTCTATAAGCTACGATAATTTTATAGTTGAAAACCCAAACAGTTGTCTCATCTCTGTGTGATCAATTTCATTATTACAATTTCTGTAATAGGGCGAATATTTTTTTTTGATGCAGCAATGCTGAACGTGAGTTATTTTTACTTGGAAACACATTGTTAACTATATTTTCAAGTGAAAACGGATGTCACTGATGCTTGACATCAGACTCTTCGAAGTGGGATCCGAACCCTCTGATTCGTGTCTTGTCACTCTAGCCACTTACCCATAAGTGAGCCTATGTTCGAGGTGATTTGTCAGTAACGATTCTTAAAACTGTCTGAAGTTGATTAGAAAAAAATATTCTTGAAGTAAGCCTTTCCATCTCTCTTAAGCACTGCAGATTGAATGTCGAGAATATGAACTAAAATTTTGGACCAATTCTGCTGTAAAATAGACCAATGTTATGGCAAGGCTATCTTACGCTGCGTTTTTCATATAATATGGTACTAAAAACTATCAACATGCTATGTGGTTGCTATGCAGTCAGAACCTAAAAAACGCACAAATGTTAAAAAATCTTACAGTGCATCTTTCTGATGGTTCATAATTATATATGTGACATTTTATATGTAAAACGCCTGATACAAATACATAGCATTTAATACATTGGTACCATTTTTTATGATAAACGCAGCGTAACCTAGCCTTGCCCTAACATTGGTCTATTTTAATCCAGAATTCGCCCATTTATTTTAGTTTTAACCTTTTTTTTATAATCTATACATACTTTCCATTTAAATCTATTCCGTTCAATGTTTTTCTCAGCATACAGATTTTTTTACAAATTTAACAAAGATTATTATATATTTTAAAGGAATTTTCTACTTCTTATTATATATTGACTTCATAAATATTCAACTTAATTATTTTCAATCATGTATTTGGTGATTTCCTGCGGCCTAGCGTTTGGAGCTATAGGCTTCTATTCGAAGGTTTCAGTTTCGATACCCACTTTAGACAGCCTGGTGTCTAATTAAGCAGTAGTGACATTGGTTATGCCATGGGAATAAAGATAGTTATGTTTCCAAGTTAAAACTGTCCTTACCCGGCAAATAGTGATCCGTGTTATATTATTTATTAATAAATTCATTAAATTTGGAGATAGGACATACGCTGGGTTTTTATCTATCGTTCTTAAGCACATAAAGCTCGTTAAGTTTAGATTGCTTATAATTTTTAACTTCCCGTAGGGCAAGTTATAGTAATCGCAAAAAAATCGAAAATGAATTTTTTTTATATATCTTTACGTTTCAGAGGTTTCTGAATATTCTGGCATACATTAGAAAAAATGGATGTGTGTGTGTGTGTGTGCGTGTATGTATGTGTGTGCAAATTTTTGTCGACGATTTCGGGAACACGGATCAACCGATTTGAATAATTCAAAAAACATTCGATTTGTATTGATACGGAGACGTGCTGATTAGTTTGTGGCGAAGGCAGGTCTAGCCGTTCCGAAGATACGGGGCAAAAAGTGCCGAAAACGGTAACTCAGTTTTTAAGAGAACGGAGCGTCCGATTTGAATAATTCAAAAAACATTTTACTTTTATTGACAAGATGACGAATTGATCAAATTTTCATGAAGGCAGGTCTAGCGGTTTCGGAGATCTAATGAAAAAAGTAAAAAAAAATGCCATTCGGCGGTTAAAAATGATCATTAGACATATGCATATCGAATTATCAGATATTTTATAGATATTTTAACAATAAGTATATTTTTTTTTTACATTTCTATGGGTTCCGTACCAATGCTTTTGCGTTAGACGGCGGCGCGGCACTTGCGCGCTTTGACATTTCGTCTCTATGCAGTTAAAGCAGTACGATTGCTTTGAAAAAAAGTTCAGAATTTCCAAAATATATTAAAATGAAAAAAAAATATTTCTTTTCAAAAAAATTTTGTTTTAAAAAAAAAATGTTTTTCAAAAAAAAGTAATTTTTTGTCAAATTTATAGTTTCTCAAAAATCTTATTTTTTCGAAGTAATTTTTTTTCAAAAATGTTAATCGTTTTCAAAAACATAATAATTTCTGGTACGGGAAGTTCCAGCAATTTGCCTTAAGGCACGATGTCTTAATTGCCTTAAGATAGAATTTCACTTACAGCTAGTTATAATTATTTTAATATTACATAGTGCCGGGATTCGATCCAAGTACTTTTTACGTGCAAGTGGAGCATGTTGCAATTACGGCCATGCTCGCTGCGATTAGTTACTTTAAGATTAATACTTATTATTCAGTATTATTTACAAATTCCCATTTTTTTCTATTTATTGATAGTTGTTTATTTACTGTTTTGTGTAGAAAAAGTGGACTATACAGATTTTCGGGTGAAAGAGACAGTAGCTACCGTGTACAGTAGAGAATTGACAGCAGCAATTGCTGCGGAAACCGCACTCACTGAACTTCAGCAGCAAGGAAATGATGTTCTCATGGTTCCATTTATAACAAAATGTCAGGTAAATAAAATCAAATACGGGTACTTGATAGTTTTAGAGTTTTCTATTACAAGTCAATAAATCGTCAATTTGTTTTAAATGTTTCATACAGCAAAGTTTTGGCAGGTGCAAACTAAGATATGAACTTAGTTGAACATTTCAATGACTGTTATAACACATATAATTTATTCATTTCACGCTGATGCACAGATAAAAATAAGTAAATAAAAAAGTCATAATACTTTTAACAATAAAAACGATGATCTAAAATTTGTATACTAGTATGAAAAACTACATTATAGCTTTGACTCTTACCTTGAAGACTATATTTTTTTATTTATTACTATCCAAATGGAGAAGTTTGTTTGTGTCAGAAAATCCGACTTGTTAATTATATTAATATTATTTAATAATAATTATCATAATAATTTTTGAATATGAATTATTATTATGACACGTATTACTCATTTTTAATAAAATTATCATCACCAAAATTGCCATTATATTATTGAAATAAAACTCACAGATAATTCTTGAATAACATTAACTATTATGATAAATATTTTTGAATATTATTATCATTTCTTACAAAATTATCAGCCATCACAATTGCCATTATATTATTAAAAAATAAAACATATGACATATGATATTTAATCAAGCGGGAGAGTCCACGATTGTCGGCAACGCTCGTTCAGCAAGTGACGCCACAGTCCCTTCTGTCTTTGTACACTTTATACAAAGGAAATCGTATGAGGACTAGTAGTCCGTGTAGTATAAGGTCTATGACTCAACTTCTCAAGTCATTCTGAATCAATCTGAACACCAAAATTGGAAAAAATATGTTTATCGTGTTGGCCAAAATTTGACATTCCGTCGGTGTTTCCTCAAAAACGGATAAACCGATTTCAAAATTTTTAAATACATTTCTTGAACCTCGTTAGCAAAACGATTTGCAGAACCCTGTCTCTCTATGCAAAATTTTTCTTCAACGATTTCAGGAAAAATGCTGTACCGATTTTGAAAGTTTCAAAAACTGTTCCAAAAGCTTAGATGGATCGGGCCTTTTGTAACTGCTGATGCTACTGTTTTTTTTTTTGATAATTTTATCAAAACTTTGCGTAGTGATAAGGCTTCGGGTCTGAATAAATCATAAAGAATCAATAAAGTTTATAATTACGCCTTTTAATCATACACCGTGTATAACAATTATGTTTATGCTATTACAAATATTAAAAATTAGTATTACAAATTATTTCTTAATATTACAAATCTGCTTGATTAGTTTATAGAGAAAAGGGGAAAATATATTATCAACAAATTTGAAAGTGTCGAAATCATCTGTTGACTAACTCCAATATTTATTACCTAGAGAAGATCATGCAATTTGCCTTATGACAAAATACCTAGTAATAGTAACAATGATGATAATAACACTTAGTAATAAATTATAAAGATTGCAATAAGGCTTCATTCCTAAAATTTCGGAAATTTTATTTATATTTACTAAAACTAAAAAGGATCATTGAAATTCATAATACTGCATTCATATTTCTTCGTTTACCTTTCTTATTTATAATAAAACTGATCTTTATTATTGTAGTAATGCATCGGGGCTGTATTTTCATTACATGAAGAATTTAAGTGTTACATTCTTGGATTGTTGCTACTAATGATTCGTTTTTTCATAAAACGTATATTAAAAAGTAATTTCCTTTTGATTATGTTTAAACAGTTCAGTTTCGCCTATAAATTACATTATATAATAGATCGCAATTTTTGGAAATCACAAAATATCATCGCTTAAATTAAAATCGTAAATATTTTACGATAAAACTCGTTCATCTGTGATAACTCATTGATCAATATTATGATTCGCATTAGTATGTCAGATCTAAATTTACTAAAAGTAAAAATATATGAACAAATTATTTAAATTTTGCCAAAAACGGTAGCTTTTGACGATTAAGATTTTTTTATCTAAACTTTCTCTTTTTTTTACTTTCTGCAAATAAAGCACGAAGAAAATTTTTTAAAAATTTGAAACTAAGGTAATGATTACAATACTTATTATTTGTTCAATTATAATACTATTTAATTTTTTTTATATAACATCCATTAAATACAGAAATAACATACTTTTTGAATTTTTTGCATCTCAAAGTACAAATTATCGATTAATCAAAATAATTTAAACGTTCATATATTATATATCAATCTTATAATTTGTTTTTTATTTTTTATAAGCATTAATCCGACGCTGTTGATATTTTGATTGTTACATAGAGATTGTAAACATTATGCTCTCTGCTATCATTATAAAACATTGCAAATTATGATGACTAATAACTAAAGTTCGAATAATTTTAATCAAATATTTATTCAGGGTACTGGCCTCACTTGTTTACTTTTAAGATAATGTAAAATAATTAAACAAACACTTCATATCAATAATAATAACAAATTCATTTAATATGTATTTAGATTCACTTACACATAATTATTTCAATTAATCAGGTTACTGTGGCAAATATTATTTGTTTAATAGACTAAAACAAACTCAATTTTTAAAGGTTATTAAAGAAGATACTGTGATCAGTCGTATGATAGCACACACACATACATATATATATATATATATATATATATATATATATATATTATATATATATTTATATATATATATATATATGAAGACTATTTTATCTTCCACAATATTTTATATATTATAGGTGTGTTCGACATTGGTATTATTAGTGTCGGAGCTATTATCAGGCGTTAGTTTTTTTTCAAAAACAGAAGTTTTTAGTTTAATTGTTGTTTCATTTTTACTAATATCCTTACATAAATTCCTAATTTTTAATATTTTTTATTATATTCTTACATAATTTCTTCACTTCTATAAAGATAATATATATTTTGTTTTTATATCATATATGAACTCTGCAATTCAATAATCGTGTTTTTTTATATTTATTTCTCTCCATATAACGCGGTGAAAAATGTGATTTGCACTACATAATTCTAAGTTTTGATACTTTGATAGTAAAAATATTTTTTACATTTCATAAAAAAATTTAAATAACATTTTACAGTCGTTTGTATGTGAAAACCGAGGTTTCCATGGCGCGGTTTCCATTTTACACGGAATTTATACTTGCCGCGTTATAGAAGGTGTATATATATATATATATATATATATATATATATATATATGTATATGCATATGTATATATACCTTATTATGTATAACAGAGAAATTAGTGGATGAACTGTTGTTTTAGGTTGTGGTTTTGCCTACATACAAAGCATATTTCATTATTGTATCATAATGTTATTTATAATAAAATGTCGTTTAAAAAAGTTATATCAAACCGAAGAAATATTTGTACTAGATTCATAAAAACCAAATTGTTTTATATTATAGCACTGTATAATATAATTTAATTTAATTTGAATAGAAATATAATTTTTATTGGATTTATTTAATATTTTAAGACTATACTTCATTACCAGTAGAGAAAATTGGGTACGGTTGTGCCACTTTTGTTTTGATCAGCAATAATTTTGTTAATTTACCAGGTAGCTGGTCAAAAAGTGAGCACAATTTAAACATTTTGCTACCTAGAAATACTTTCCTTAAATACGATGGATTAGTCATAAAATCAAATCATACAAAAAAAAACGAGTTTCACAACCCCGAGCACGGTTATGGCAGGCATAAGCATAGGTTAAAAAACAATATATATAAACACCAAAATGGTTTAGAACGACTTTTATTATCAGAAGTATGTTGCTCAGCACAACAAAGTTATTTAAATAATCACAAAACTCATGAATATAATATAACAATATATAATAAAACATATATATATATATATATATATATATATATATATATATATATATTAAAACAAAGTTAATAAGAAATAAACCTAATTTACAACAGTACACAACGCACGCTTTTGAAAACAAATCATTGCTATGCCTGAGCTAAATTATCTACGCAAAACCTAATTGCTGGTAATTAACTACTAATGTTCAACTTACAGCAAATAATAAACAAAGTATTCTATTCATGTATACATGTAACAATTATTATTAAAAGAAATCGAACAAAAAAACTTATTTTTGACTCTTTTTGAAAGCAAAAAGGTCTATAGATCACGTTATTAATGTAGGGCAATGACTCAATGCATTAATGTAAACTTGTTCGAACAAACATACTTTATTTTTTGTTCTTTGGACCCTATGTCAAGATCAGTACAGTTTAGCAGTTATGACGTCTGTGACTAATGTACTCTGGCAAATAGTACCAGTCTCCCCTACATAAGTATTTCAACGTCAGCGCTCTGTTTTTCTTCTTATAGTAATATTTACTTATAATTTTTTTTATTGTCATTAGTACCAAGTTCAGAGTATCGCAATTATTAAAATAATAAACCATAAGTCAACAACTTAAAAGTGCAATGCGACATTGTATTGTTACTTTGATATATTTTTCATTGAATATTTGTTTCAACAAATGTTTTATAAGTTACAGCTGCCATTGGAAAGTTTTCGATTGTTAAAAACCAGCAAAGCCATAGTCAATAAAAGAAGTTTGAAATATCAGATTTTTCTGTTCGAGAATTTAATACTGTTTACTGAACCTACTATTGTGGTAAGTTATCATTGTAACTAAGTAATAAAATTTAATTTGTTTTAAATATTCCATTTACACAATAATATTTTTAAATTTTTGATAGAATTCTGAAAACATTTTTATGCAGATAAAAAATTATTTTGTCGAATGTTATTTGTCATAAAACGTACTATTGGTGAAATAATGTTAATTACTTGAACATGTAAGAATATATAATTTATCAGTTTATTATGCTTTACAGTACATGAAGTATTTATCTAATTATTTATATAATACCCGCTTAATAACTTATCGCAAAATAAATAATGTGTTATAAACATTCAATTACTGTATTATTTATTATAGTTTATTAGTTCTATATTTATAATAACATAATATTTATAATTTCTTATCAATTTTTTTTTAAAACAACCTTATGGTATATTACAGAACAATGAAGAGTTTTTTACCTGCAAAGACTATATATATCTGGATAGAATTTTACCACCTGTCGAATGTCAGAAGTCTTTATATGCATTTACCCTGACGAGTTCAGAAAATAAATCTAGAATTTTCCATATAAAATGCTCAAGTGGCGATGAAAGATCGTCCTGGATGACTATTATTAGGAATATTTTGTTTCAGCAACAACAGGCATGGAAAGGTAAAATTCTTGAAATACCAATTTTGGACGAATGATTTTCAATACGTATTTCAAAGCATGATTTTTCTCAAATTTTGCGAAAGATTTTGTTGTAAGATTTGCGGAAACTATTTCAAATAGTTTTTTTTTACAATCTATGGATAAATCATATGTTTAAATGGGCATGGTTGTGTGCATTTAAGTGTGTTTGTGCACCAAAAATTGTTTTTTTTTTGTTGATGCTTTATCAAAATGCTTTTTTGTTGAGAATCGGCCGATCTGTTTCTTCGCAATGAAAGATTTGGTTTTGACGGTAAAACTTTGTATGATTGGAAACTTCGATATATTATAGTTCTAAAAATAGTTATTTATCTTATGAAGGATAACTATAAATTAATTATAAAACTTTATTAAAGTTGGGGCAACTTACATAGTGAAACAAGCTTAAAAGTTGCTAAAGCTCGATTTTACTATTTAGTAGATCACTCACACATAACGGAAAGTTGATGCAACTTGCCTTAAGGCATAATACCACTTACTCCAAGTTTTTATTCTTTTGATACTACGATTTTTTAAAGGTCGAAACTAAAGCCTTTTACTTATGCATGTGTTTTATCGAGCCCTCAGGTTTGTGTAATTTGAAATTGAAATCGTTGAATTTTATTTGTATAACATATGATTAAATATTACAAAGATTAGATTTATAACAATAGGTAACTCGTACAATAGGGCATAAGTAAATACTGAACAGTGAAGATAGATTTCTGCTTAAAACTTGCATTTATGGTATGAAAAGTTTTGGTATTATTTTACAAAATAAACAAGAGTTGAGATGGTATGTTGTTAATTACATATTAAAAATTTCTTGTTCCTGATTTTGTTCATTAATATTATCATAATATAACTTGATTTTATTCGTGATATTTGACACATTAGATTAGACTAAGAAAGTTACTCACTAATTGTTGTCCAATAATTACAGAAGCAATGAAAAATAAATTAGCTTTATCTCCGACAGAGGCTTCAACCAGTAAGTGATTCATCAAGTGGACTCTTATCAATTTATTCATTGTCGACTGAGTTTACTTTAAATGACCGATTATTTATTGCAGAGACCGCCAAGGATGAGGCACCGAAATCAGTTGAAATCCCACAAATTAAAAATTGTGTAAGTATTTCGGAAAATTTCATATTCAATTTCAATTTCAAGTATAATATGTAGGGGCAAAGTTATAATGTACATCAAATTTTTTGAATTCGGATTATTTTTAAATTATTTTTATTGGTTTCCGTTCAGCATACTTCTAGCACTAACTTAAGCACGATATCTATATCATATTTTCTATCCAATTATATGTTACTATAGCCAATACCAAGAATCGATCCAGTGATCACAGGCGTGGGACTCGTTACTCCAACTGATCAACGCCCACCGCTTTATTTTCGGGTATTATCTGACAAACTTTGACAATACAATTATTTTTATTATAATAATTATTATAATAAATTGGAATAATCAAACATTAGTAAATGTTATCCAGATATTATTGCTTATTTAACACGTTCTACTCGGCTCTCGTAGTGGTGATTTCTATCTAATGATAATAATTTTAACGTGAACAAAAGCCTCCAGATGAATGGACATATTATATCAAGTTGCCGATCTGCGGAAAAATGCGCCTGCTAGAACGTGTTAAAAATGCGTGGGTTTCTTTCGATGCATGCATTCATTCGACCTAATATTTTTTTAATAACAATATATGATATATATTAATTGGTGGTTATTCAAAATATAATATATCCATAATTGGGTGAAGAAAAATTATTTTTATTTATTTAATTATATTATACAAATAAGATTAACCCTTTCGCTGCGCAAGAGTCACCCTGTTGTACGGACCAAGAAGTATTTGTTTACAACGTATTAATTAAATTAAAATAAACTAAAATTTGCAATTTTCGAACGCATTTTATATTGGATGCGTCCCATAACCGACGTTCGTGGCGAAAGCGTTAATTATATGAATGTAGGATTTTATCCGTGCAATATGATTTTTATGTAAAATACACTTTCCTTAATATAAAGCAGACTTAAAATTTTATTATATCACCGTATTCTTATAATAATTTATAAGAATAAATGATATATATGAATACATATTTGCGTGTATATACTAAACTATTGAATATTTTTCCAGCCTCACAAATTAAAAGACGCCGGCCAGTTGAGAAAATGCGGTAAACTTACTATTAAATATAAAAACAGTTTATATATAGGACACGTCACGTTGTACGAAAAAATAGTGATATTTTCTTCCATAACTAATAATGTGAGTATAAATATGATAATGATCAAATCAAATTTAAACATTCTAAGCGAAGTCTTAATTAATTAATTAATTTTTAAAATTTACACTAAAATCGATCGACTAGCGAGTTTTTATATTTAGGTTAATATTTACAATAAATATGAATTAATGAATACTTGGTATTTAACAGGAATTCATTTTTTTTCTTGAGTCATGTTTTATCTAATAATATTATAATAAAATTTTATTATTACTAGCATTATGAAGAAATGTTGAAATATGAAAGTAGTATATTAGCGGAAAACTTGGGTATTGCACCAAATATGGGCACGTCACCTACAAAGTTTCATGTTTGGTGTAACAAGACAAATGCTTCATATATATTACAAGCAAAAACTGAAGAAGCTAAAGCCGCCTGGACTAAGCAATTTGATAAAGTAGTTGCTGAACAAGGTACAAGTGTTAATTGGCTACAAAATTTCGTTATTTTGGGTTCACATACGACGACAATAAATATATATAATATATATATATATATATATATATATATATATATATATATAATTTGAATTTACAACAAAATATCATAAGCATTTCTAGTAATGCATTAGCAAAAATCATATATTTGGCAATTGCCGCTCGAGCCGCCATATTGGTAAAACGTCGCCAAAAAAACGGATTTTTAACAATATCTCCTTTTTGGTTTATTTTACAATAAAAGTATCTATATAGAAATTAAACTTGAGAATTTTTTAATTTAATTTAATTAGGGCAAGTTATAGTAATCGCAAAAATTCGAAAATGAAATTTTTTATATATCTTTACGTTTCAAAACCTTCTGAACATTTTGGCATACCTTAGAAAAAATTGATGTATTTGTGTGTGTGTGTGTGTGTATGTGTGTGTGTTCGGATACAAATTTTCGTCGACGATTTCGGGAACACGGATGAAGCGATTTGAATAATTAAAAAAACATTCGATTCATATTGATAAGGAGACATGCTGATTAGTTTTTGACGAAGGCAGGTCTAGCCGTTCCAAAGATATGGGGCAGAAAGTGCCAAAAACGGTAACTCAGTTTTTAAGAGAACGGAGCGTCCGATTTGAATAATTCAAAAAACATTTTACTTGTATTAACAAGATGAAAAGCTTATCAATTTTCATGAAGATCTAGATCCATTAAAAACAAGTAAAAAAAATGTCATTTGGCGGTCAAAAATGATCATTAGACATACGCACATAAAATTATCAGATATTTTATAGAGAGTATAAATCTTGTTTACATTCGTATGGGTTCCATACCAATGTTTATCCGTTAGACGGCGACGCGGCGCTTACGCGCTTCGATATTTTGTCTCTATGCAGTTAAAGCAGTACGATTGCTTTGAAAAAATGTTCTGAATTTCCAAAATATTTCAAAATGAATTTTTCTTTCAAAAGTTCTTTTTTTTTCAAAAAAGTAAATTTTTCTCAAAAATTTATAGTTTCTCAAAAATCTATTTTTTTCAGAGTAATTTTTTTTCAAAAATGTTAATCTTAAAAAAAAATGGTACGGGAAGTTCCTGCAATTTGCCTTAAGGCACGATGCCATGTGCCCCACTAGTTTATATTTTATTCAATTACCATTTTTTTAGAAAATCAACAGTTAAAACTTTTAAAGTACGAGCGCTTCAAAATCTTTGCTGCTCGCGTCGCCATATCTGGCCTCCCTGTATTTGACCGCTCTCTGTACTTGAGCACATTCCTTCTAATAAATAAATGATGTTAAATTAAGCGAATTTATCAAAAAGCGATTTCACAAAAAACGGCTTTTGAATGAAATATAGGAAGTTTTTCCTATCTTAATTCTTACATAGATTCTTTTATCGCAAAATAAGCCGGAAAGGAGGTAGTGTTAAAGAACTCTATTTTTGACGCAATTTTTCAAATCTACTTCAACGGCTGGAAATTCGAGGTGACAAAGAAATTCGTAAGGAGCACATCGAAATCTACTAGACTACCAATTTTTATAACTCCCTGATTACTTTCTCGGAATCAGCATTTTGCACCAAATGACTGGACTAAAACATGTTCAATGATTATATGTAACATATGTTAAAGATATTCAAACCGAAATCGATGAGCCTTTGATTAATTTTTAGACTAGTTTGATATTTATAGCATAACTTAAACTATGATGTGTCATCTAGTGATTTATGTTTATTATTAAATTAATGCTATCATATAATTCATACGTTCACATCGATAATTATTGACCCGTGATCCAATCTTATCATAATGATCAAATTCAAATAACAAGTTGTACTGCAAACTAAAGTTGTTTACTAATTGTTTATTGGTGCGCATTTTAAAAACCGTAGTATAATTTGTGAATTTCACAAATAGTTTAATGTTATTATGTAGATCTTTAACAATACCAATTGGGTCCACAAACTTTTTGTTTTGCAGTCTCATTTTATTATATTTTTCTATTATTTTAGCATTTTTGAATTTGTCTACTTAGATTATTATTATCATTTTTATTACTATTTTATATCCTATTCTATTCAATGTTCTACTTGCTATTGATTTTTGCATACAATTTACGAACTCTTCAATATCTTAATTTATTAAATATTTCACAAGTGTATTCCAGTTTCACATGAAGTATTCTCATCAATTGTTTTTCCTATTATACATAATACCGGCATTTGATTCATTTTTATGGTTAGTATTAACTATGATTTTCATTAGTCATTCAGTTCAAGCTTTTGTGAAAGCAGTATCATTAGACTTTAAGACAACAAAAAATTTAACAAAAATATATTCAGTGTTTATTTTATTTGTTCAGAGGCCCTTCGATTACGTAATAGTTTAGCAGGAAGAGATGTTTCATCTGCTCGCAAAGCTGGTATGAGATGTAAGTATTGTAGTATATTTTCCATACTATTCAACTATACTCTCATATGGGGAATGCAATACAATAAGGTATACCGGTATACCGTCCGATTTTTCGGCGGTATTGTTACCGGTATTTACCCCAAAAATACCGGTATTTTCGGTATTTTTACATGGGCGCTATTTGATACATAATACACTAAAGTTTAAATTTCTCGGAACAAATTTATCTTTAAATTCCATAATCGCATAAACAGCTATATCTTTAAATGATTCTATAGGATAAACAAATGTCAAATATTATCTAAACTCGTCATTATACTGAATATTTATTGCTTTACTAAGGGCTTCATATCGTGTTACAATAAATAGAATTGGACTGATAGATAATGATGTTTGTTTCATCTTATGTAAAATGTAACAGTTTTTTAAGTGATATTTGCGCCAAAATATTTTATATCATACAGATTACCCCTGCGTAATCTTTATTTTTTTCTAACTTTATACATAATAATTATGATAATTACTAAATTTATTTCTTCTTATTACAATTATAAAATATTATTTTTGAAAACGTTTCGAAATTTGAAAATACTATAGGAGCATCACATTGTTTTAAATAATAATACTCAACAATTATAGTAACTTATTATTTATCTCGACAAAGTATCCGATCTTAAATTATCGTAGAAAAATTATTTTTCTAAAATATCGGAGATTATGCTAATTTAACACATCGAATACAGACAATACAATTTATTAAAATAATGTAATATGATCTTTTATGAGTTTTTGGTCTTTCTTACCCCTAAGTTTGTTTTTGGTGAAAAGTACTCAATATACTCGATAGTGATAATGAATTAATTAAATTGGATATAATTTTGTTAAATTATTATTTAAAAAAAATAAACTTATTATTTTATTTTATTGTTTTTATTGTTTAGTTGAACATAGTTGTAGTTGTATAAACATTTTTTTATATTTGTACTAGTAACTTTCAATTTTGTTTACGTTTGTTTAAGATAATAAAAATACCGGTAATTTACCGGTATTCCGGTTTTAAATAAAAAATTACCGAAATACCGGTATTGAAATTTTCCATCGGTATTGCATTCCCTACTCCCATATATACGAGTATATGCACAAACATAAGGTGTTGGAACAAAAATCTAAAATTCTCTATAATTTACTTTATAAATGAATTGCACATTATTGTTATTAAATATGCAATTTATATAGCATTCCTCAAAAGAATGTTTTATCATCAAAAGTAACGATTGCAATTTATTAGAAAATGTATTAATGTTGATTACGAATATGATCATTTTAATATGAAACGAATACAAAGAGATTAAGTAACAAACGATAGAATTTTGTACAATGCTCTTTATGTGACTGTTTTCAGTTGTTTCCTCAAATTTTGTGAGATTGAAATGCATAAAAATAAATTTATCCTGCTAATATCCAAATATTTATTCAGACTCTTTAAATTAGCTTTGCGAGGTGTTCCTGGAGAATGCAATCGCCGTTCTTTACCGCCGGTTTCCACAGTCTGGCACATGAAATTCGAATTTGAGGAAGGGCAATCATCAACTACTGCCAATGAAGAGAACGAAAATACGAAATCAAAATCCCAGGATCTTGTACCAACATCGTCTATTTCAAATGTATTGGGATCTCTTAAAAATTTTGCTAGCACTACATATGCATCACCTAAAAAGAATGACTTGATTTGACATTGGGACACGAAACCAAGTATGAAAATAACATAATTAATGGGAAGAACTTGTTTTTAAAAACCAGGAGATAAACTCAAATAAAAGTATATTTTATTGTTGGATACACTCAATATAAATAATATATTATCATGCAATTGACAAGTAATTATATTGTTTAATATCATAAAATTGCTCGCATTTATATCACATCACTCAATAAGTCGATAGGATTATTTATATTTTGACATTGAAATTTTGAATAATTCGTAGCTCAAATGCGGACTTTAGTATTTTTGTAAACTGCAATATAACATATATTAGATTATGGAAATACTAAGTTCGCATTTCAACAACGAATAATTCAAAATTTCAATATCCAAATATAAATAATCCTACCGACTTAATAATTAAGTGCATCACTCAATAATGTTTAGCGATGTATTATACTTGTATGTATATATATATATATATATATATATATATATATATAAATATAATAACGAATTTTTCTTTTTTGTTGATGCAGGAACATTAAGTATTTAATGTTATCAAATGAGTTTTTACTTATAACTTACATCAGTATCATAGTCGTGCAGCTCAAATCAAATGGACATGATAATGTATTTTTCAAAAACGCAATTTTGAGTTGATGTTTCGAATATATTATAAATATACTATCCTATTACTTTGCAGTTTCCTATGCGAATAAAGTATTATATGACGTTAAGGAATTATCGTTAAATTAGATTCTTCATAAAAAAACTTATGTGAAGTTTTGAAAAATAACGTAATATTTTTAACGCCGTAAACTAAGTATATCTATACTAATTATTAGCAGATATACTAGTTTTATTAAGACAGATTTTAAAGTAACATAATATTGGCAAATCCAATAAAAATTGGCTAACTTTGGCTGTAGTTATTAATTTCAAATTTATATTTTAAATATTTAAATAATTCACTACCAGATAAGATGTTTTTAAAGATTAAAGGTAATATACTCTAATATTATATTTATTATTATAAAAATAGAATTTATTTATATATTAAATCGTTGAATATTTTATATATGAGATTAAATTGTTATTGTTGTTAAGTTGATAATAGATAGTATTTATATTGCTTTATCTGCGATTACTAAACATTTATTAGTGTAATTACTATTAATTTACCAAAATAATTGATGCAGTCATAATTCGGTTGAATAAAGAAAGTATTCTAAAGAGAAGTTTTTTTCTCAAATGATTGAACACGGCCAAAAACTTTATCAAACCGATGTTATTTTATGTGATTTACCTATGCTTATTTCTTTTAAATAATTTAATTTAATTAGTTTAATTACGTGATACGCAATAGGTTTATGAACGTACTCGTAAGATTTTTTTTCTTTGAATTTATTCCTTCTGCCATCTGAATGTGCATACGGGTATCACACTCGAGCAGTATTTTCATAAGCCGATAGATTTCTTTATAGAACTTAAATTGATAATTTCTTATATGTTCCGTGCATAAAGATTGATTTTCTAGAAAAAGGCGAAATTTAATAAAAGATTTCCGAAGATTCCATATTTATTTTATAAAAAAATATTTTTCTTTTTACGACTTTTTTCAATAAATGTTTGACAAAAGTAAGTAAACTTACATATGTTTATGTATGTATGCATATGTATGTATGTATATATATATATATATATATATATATATATATACCAATAAAAACATGAATTTTTCAGAAGTTTATTTTTAAATCCATGCGTTACAATTAAAGTATGTACTGGCTTCTCTTCAGTGAAAAATACTGAAAATCATCAAGACTAAATACATGATAATAATGTATATTATGGTATAGAAATTGAAATCTAGTTTTTAATTAGTACTTACAATTTGTTATCCTTATATTAAAATAAACTTTTTAAAATTCATGTTTTTTTATATTGATGGTGCCACAATTATTAGATGCGTTAATAAATTTGCTAATATATATATATATATATATATATATATATATATATATAATGTTTTTCAGACACTTATACATTTATTAATTAAATCCAATGTAGATATTTAAAAATTTAACTAGGTGCGTGCAATTAGCATTTGGCCTTAAGAAAAGTTGCATTTACTTCCCGAAAGGTGTATATGATATACACAGTCAACAAGAATTCATATTTAGCTATTTAAATATAACGTTTTCTGTTTCATTTAAAAATAATGTTTTCGCTCTCACTAAAACCTAGGCTATGCGATATTCAATTGATATCTTTGATATCATCATTCGTATGGCATACCGCTGGTACGTCCTAAAATCGCTGCTCAATATTCATTTTTTTTTTGTAAATAATTTTTTATAATGGAACTATTTTTAGTAGGACTAAAATATTTAAATATTATTCACAATTAGCCAGTCGGATACTTGATTATTAGCATACGTTTTGTGCCAGACTCATCTTCAGTGAGTTCAGACAACAATAGACAATGTGAGTTTATTGTTGTTTTCTAATGCATTTTTTATAAATTTTGTATTTATACACCGAAGATAAGTCATCTATATGAACTTTGAAGATATACAAAATTCTTAAATTACCTGATTCGGACTTAATTCAATAATTGAAAGCCTTAAAACTTTATCTCTAGTATTACTAGATTTACGGTCGATTATATATCTATTTTAACTGAAGTGAGCCAATATGACTTGTGCATGAAGATGGAAGTTTTTAGAATGAAAATAGTTTCAAATAGGTTTAAATATAATGTTTATTATCAAAAAATTAATGGAAAACATTATTCACTGCTTGAAGCTATAATTATAAGTTATTTATTGTTTATGGAACAATATTTTTTTTATTTAATTTCAATTTTTATATTTCGTAATTAGCAGGGATTTTTTTATAATGATTGTTTTTATAAATGGTCAGGGTACAATTCTCAGATCTATACAATTGTGTAAAAACTTTTGTCATTGTATCTTTTAGTTTATTGAATAGTTACAACCATAGTAGTTTTTCTTTCAAGTAATGTTTTTGCAAATGAAATAATAGCCGTGGAAAATTATTAATTATGAGCATACGCTCTATAAAAGAATAAAACTGTATTAAAACCGGATCATTTGTAAAAGTCGACATGACATATAATGTTGTATTGTTTTTATATTTCCTGATCAATGCTGATTCGTATTGTCATATAGCAGACAAACACAGCATGGCTAAACACAAGCTTAGTTACTAAAATTTCGCTCAAGGCAATATTTGGTTATCCAATTTCATCCTTGCAAATAGGGTAACCGTTTACAAGATATTTGCTTCTTATTTTGGATTCCAGATAAAATTTGATGGCGAATTTATCCGGTTTATTCGGCATGTACATAAAAAACTGGAATCTAGCTTTAGTAAGAAATAATTGTTTGCTGATCGCTATATTTACGTCAGGTTTGTAACAACCCTGACAATTCTCTACAAATGTATATCATATTGGTAAAATCGAGCCAAATTCCGTATTAGATATATTTTTTTGATTTCAACAAATACCTTTTACAAATAAATTATAAAATTATCTTTGTGGATCAGTTTTTATGGCAAAAACTGTTAAACCATTTTGTGAGTCTAATTGGTTAACACCGTGAAAATAGGTATACCACATTCGAAAATGTCAAATGAATTTTTACTTATATTTCATTACACAACTAAAAACCACTGTATGTTTGTAAAAAGTAATACAAAAGTTGTATGTGTATTAGATGATCAAATGTTTAACTTCCCCTAGGGTAAGTTATAGTAATCGCAAAAAAAATCGAAAATGAAATATTTTATATACCTTTACGTATTAGCGGTTTCTGAATATTTTAGCATACTTTAGAAAAAATGAATGTACGTCTGTGTATGTGTATGTGTATATGTGTATGTATGTATATGCGAATACAATTTTTCGTCGACGATTTAGAGAACACGGATCAATCGATTTCAATAATTCAACAAAACATTCGATTCCTATCGATAAGGAAACGTGCTGATTTGTTTTTGGCAGAGGCTAGTCTAGCCGTTCTGAAGATACGGGGCACAAAGTGCCAAAATGGTATTTCAGTTTTTGAGAGAACGGAGTGTCCGATTTGAATAATTAAAAAAGCATTTTACTTGTATTGACGAAGTGATCAACTGGTGAAATTTTGGGAAGGCAGGTTCAGGGTTTCCTTAGATCCAATAGAAAAAGTAAAAAACAATGCCATTTGGCGGTCAAAAATGATCATTAGGCACATCATGTTTTCAAATATTTTATAGAGATTATAATAATAAGTACAAATTTTGTGTACATTTGTATGGGTTCCGTACCAATGTTTACACGTTAGACTACGACGCGGCGCATACGCGCTTCGATATTTCGACTGTAAAACAGCTATGCGGCGCGATTGCTTTAAAAAAGTGTTCAAAATTTTCAAACAAATTTATAATATAAGAAAAAACAAATTTTTCAAAAAGTCAAAAATTTTAAGTTTTTCTAAAGAAAAATAGTTTTTGGTACGGGAAGCACCAGCAATTTGCCTTAAGGCACGATGCCATGTACCACTAGTTATTGAGTCAAACTGGCTCGGTCCATCTAGTGTTAAAAAGTAGGTGATAAATCTAGTGTTAAACATTTTCACTTTTTGATACTAATCGCAGTTGTTTACTGATTTAAGAGAAATTATTATTTCGAAAAAACATTTGATAATTTTAAAACATATATCTGTAATAAAATTACTTTTTAGTATAAGTTTATCTCTAATAAACACCACCCCAAATTTGTATTTTACCTTCGGTGTATTAACTTCCTCTTTTTCTCGTTACGATGTGCACCTAAGTATTCCATAAATAAAGGTGAAAATATATTATGTTTTTTTTTGGAATTTATATTAAATATTATCAAAAAGCAGGTCGGCGGATATATCGTTAACGAGAAGCTATATCGGTTAAAGAGGGCTGAAGGGAGGAGATCCGTTCGAACAATGCGTGTGGTGCGGAGTGGCGCGGTGCGGGCGCACGGAGTATGCGAGCTTCTTTGTAAAGTCGTCACGACCTTAATATAGCGACTCCTATTAGCGCCGTGTGAGAGC